TTTTTCTTGTGCGTATGGCAAAAAAAAGCTAGCGTCAAGCCCAGTGGCTGGCGCGCACTGGGGGGGGGAAGTAAGGATCTCTTTTTATTCCTTCACCCACCTCGCTTTCCCGACCCTACACCCATCTGCCCTCGCATGCCGCCCGGACCTGCCTATATAGCGCGGTTCCCTCGCCCGCCCCGCGCCATGAATTACCAGCGGCACCAGGCGGCACGGAGCGCTGCTGCTCGCTAAATGCAGGTTTCGGACATGGAGCTGGGGGCGGGGAAGGTGGTTGTGGCCATGCGTGGGGTTTACGGGTTCTTCGAGATCGGCTTAAGGGTACGGCCCTGGGAAGAAGGGCATTTCGTCTGCCTTTTCTTTTAAGAACGGGTGCTCTGCGTGCCCGTGTGTCTGCTTGGCACCAGTACAGCACGACACATGAGCAGATCTCATGGAGAGTGCCCTTTTTTGGACTCCTGAGTACACAATCTTGCGTGCTTTGCCCCGGAAAGCAGAGAGGCCTATCTTTTCTCTTACACGTGCATACATTCAGATCCTGGATGAACCATGGGACTGGCTTACAGTTCACTTGACAGTTGCATTTGCTGAGAAAATAGGGCGAAATGCACACACGCACAGACACACGCACACAGATGTTACATCTCAGACATGTATGCTCTCTGGCTCTGGCAAAGGACTCAGTACATGTGGTGCTTCAGCCCTGCAGATACTCCTCCCCTATCTTTCTAAAACATTCTCTGAACTCTTAAACCTTTTCCACTGCCCAAGAGAAAACACTTTCCATTACAACATCCTCACAGATCTGGGGAAAAATAATAACATCGAAACCCAATTTTGCACAGCGCATGTGTTTGCGTTTTTCTTGTAGCCAGTGCAAATCCCACCCTCTCTCTGCTTGGCTTACTTTGCCCTCCTTTTCTTGGCTTAATTTCAAAGGAGAAAATCAGAACTGACAAAGCCAGAATTTGTGATCATTACAAATATGTTATCACCACAGTGCTCCTGAGACCTGTTGCAGAAGGAGATGGTGAGGTAAACATGTGTATGGTCTTTCTGACATAAAAGTCTGCTCATCATACAAAGTAAACAGAATATTGCTGACAAGATACTGGCTCATACAAATATTTTCTACCATGGAAATGATATGAGCCCAAAATTGCTCTGTTTTCAACCCCTTTGTCATTAACACTGAAGTTCAGAAATGTGGAGTATGTATTGTATTATTCAAGGTACTGTCCTGTCAATCTCAAAAACTGTTCTCTTTTAAAAATCAAATACTTATAGATCATTAAAATAAAATCTTCAGGTTGCTTTCTCCATTCTTTTTTCAGACAATGCCTCCAGATACCTTCTTGAAAGAGACATTTTACCTTGCAAGGATTTTTTTTTTTTTAAATTGATTTTGCATTTAAGAAGTATGATGCAAGAATTAAGAAAAACTTTTTTTTCCTTGGGAATTGAAATAAAAGAAGTTCCGGAAAAAGAACAGACACTCTTATTACACAGATAGGTGACTGCACCGATGGTATTCAACCATCTTTTGTCATCTTACTCATTTTGTTCACTGACCAAAAGAGGTCGCGAGTTGTCCAGGGTTAAATTAGACTAAACCCATCCACAAGGAGGAGGGTGAGGGGTTTGAAAAATACTGCATTTTCTTTCTGCTTCCTTCCTTCCTTGCTTCCTACCTTCCCTCCCTCCCTCCCTTTCCTCCTTCCCTCCTTCCCTCCTTCCTTCCTTCTTCCTTCCTTTCATTCTTTCTTTCCTTTTTTTCCCCCCGTTGGAAAGTATTGCCAAAAATCTTATTTTGTATTTAAACACTATTATTAGGTGATGAATACTGAAAAATCGTTAGGATCATCTTTTGTGTTTAAGAAAATCTCAGATTAAGTCTATAAGAAGGAGACATTCATTTCTACTCTGGTAGGTAACATACAGGGGGGCCAATATACGCTGGATTTCTCAGTTTTTTCCTGCTTTTTGGTAGAATAGAATCATAGAATCATAGAATCACTCAGGTTGAAAAAGACTTCAAGATAATTGAGTCCAACCACAACCTAACCATACTGTCATAACTCTAGCAACCCACAGCTAAATCGTGTCCCTGAGCACCACAACCAGATGATTTTTAAACACATTCAGGGATGGTGACTCAACCACCTCTCTGGTGGTGACAGGTGACAGGGTGAGGGACCCTTACAATAGTCTACACTGAGAATTTGCTGTGATGAGAACAGATAAATCTGAAGTCACTTCAGAGAAAGACTGGGCCAGGTTTTCTAAGCTAGGCAACCTCTATATTAATCCGTAGCCTTGATCCTGAAGATATTTATTATAGGAATAATCTGTTGCCATTCTTAGACTCCACCTCCTAAAGATCAGTAACTTTATATACAGCTACAATCAACTGTTGGTTATTCAAAGGAACACAGTCTTAAATAATCAGAACAATTTTATCCTCTATTCTTATCTTAAATAACAGCTTCTTTAGCACTCTATGCCACTGAAATCAAACTCCTTGTATCTGATAAAATTTCTGAAAAGATGATAAATTTCGCAGTAATGATGATAGTAAAGGACTGGTAATGCTGGCAGAATTGAAACAGGGCTAAAATGGGATAAGGCACCAATAACGACATGGATAAATGTATGTAGATATAAAAATATGCAATTGTATTAAAAACTCACTAAGAAATTGTGGATCATACAGTCATAGTCACTTTAATATGCATGATCAAAGTAAGAAACTCAATGTAAGACTTTTAAAAACAATTCTTTAATTCTCCTTAGAGATAAGCAAAAAGTGAAAATAAGTCTAACCTGTACTGGGCAGTTTTGCTTTAATAATTTAACCAGAGGCCCAACACTGTCTTTGAATAAAGAAAGATGAATAGTAGCCATCAGTTGTTTGTTAGTTTTTTTTGTTGTTGTTGTTGTTTTGTTTTGTTTTTTTCCCCAGCGAACTGAACAAACTACCAGCTCAAAAATCTGGAAACCATTAAACATATAAATAATCCCACCCTCCTTTGGGATGTTAAAACTATTAAAAACAATGAATAATAATCTGAACTAAGTTATCTGCTGTCCTACGCTGTGGGCTCTGCAAGATATGGAAATAACAGATGATGTAAAACCACAAAGTTCTTAGAGGAAATCTGCATTTGGAATTAATTTGCTAAACTGAATTTTGCAGTTTCAAGAAAAACAGCATCATGATTTTCACCACATATTAAAACTGTAGAGAAAGATGAAGGCAATATTTTATGTCTTCTGGGCACACTATTATTTCCATATTGGTGCAATTCCTTTTATGATACACTGCAAAATTGTTTGCTGTGATAATTGTGCACAGTTTAATTTATGGTATCTAAATAACATACATCTTTTCACAGCAAAAATCAGATCCCATAATTACAGTTTGTTCAGTACCATAGCTCAGTATAGAATAGAGGCTTATAGTACTCAAGCAAATGGAAGCTGGTTTAAACTTTGTGTATAATTTAATTCATTTTGTTAAAAAACAAAGACAAACTAAAACATCAGAAAGTGAATAATCCTTGGACTACTTGCAGTGGAAAATGCTGTTAACACTGAGTTGAAATATAACAGAAACAGTTGAGCACAGGAGTTACTCTTCATCAGGGCACACAACAGGAGCAGTTAAATTTCCTCATGTATGCAACTGTTGAAGCAACAGAGAGCCACTATCAAAAACACGGGCCTCATGTATGGATGGTCTGATGATTAGCTGTGTGGGTGGAGAGATTTCACTGGGAGTTGGGCATTGCTGGAGTATGGTTATACATGCACTTAGAAGAGAAACAAACAGCCCAAGCATCGCAGGAACAACTAGAAAGTGCCAAAGACAGCTTGGGGGAATCAGAGACATGCATGGGTGTAGTGTGACGATGAAAAGATGAAAACTTTCAAAAATTATCTTTTCTGCTTCTTTTCAGGACTGAACATAAACCACCAGAATAATAAAAGATATCGCCCCGCAGACCTTGTTAATAAGAGTCAGCAGCCAGAAAAAAAAAAAAAACAGCAATCTCTAACCAAGAAATCCAGCCTGTCTTTTATACCAAGCCATGTTGAGAGAAACAGGAAGAATACAGAGATGCCATTCACAATTATAGGTAGAATAGTTAATTATAAATTTTGGTAGTTTATTCCTTACGTTAAATTTTTATGAAATCAACCACCTGAAAGCATCACTGCTTAAACATTCATGCGATGGGGGTCAGACTTGTCAAGGCAAGACTTAAACCATGCTTTTCCCTTCTCTACTTAACCAGTGGAAATGGATAATTTTGAGCCCATTGTGGCAAACCAAAATTTCTACTTGTTTCA